GGTCTTTCCAGGACTGGAGCTATTTCCCTTGGCTTGGGCGTTGCTACCCTGTCAGGGTACACTGCTAGGCACTCTGTAGGAGAGGTGCACTGGGGCAGCATAGAGCCTAGTTCTGTCAGGCTGGCAAGGGAGGCACATCTAGATGACTGCCATCCTCAGGCCACAGTCAGTGACCAGAAGCTGTGGTCAGCAGCACAGAAAAGAGGAGTCCTACAGCCTTCTAGGAAGAGGTGGCTCCAGAGCCGGAGGGACCTCACTCATTTCCCCACCAGGCAGGACACCACGGCTCACAAAGCTCTGGTGCCTGTTGTGTGCCTGCCGCCACCTCGAAGGTGGCAGAATGAGGAGAAGCAGGCTGCCCTGCCAGCTGCCCTGCCAATGACCCCACTGTGGCTGGGCCAGCTGCCTCCAGTCCTGCCAACCTGGCCTGGCCCAGCAGGCTGCCAATCATAGCTAATGACCACGCTGCCTGCAGCCCAGGCCACCACCCTCCTCCGGGTGACCACAGTACTCACTGGCCCAGACAACAGCCAGGCCAGAAATCACAGCCATTTGTCACACCACATCCTCTGGTCCTGTGCTGTGGTCTCTTCCTTCTCCTCTTCCTCCTGTCAGGGTCATGAAGGACACTGCAGAAAGCCTGGAGATGCAGGACACTCAGACACTGCTCTGTTCACAAAAGAATGGACAAACAGAAACCCGGAGGGGGCTGATTCATGCAGGTCACAGAGTCAGTTACCACAGAGCCCAGGGCCGAGGACTGTTTCCTAGGTTCCACACTCAAGCCACTACTGCCCTCAGCCTTGGAAAGGAGGCATGTGCCTTGGCTTGTCACATGCAAAGAATGCTTTCCAAGATACTGGGTGGAGCTGAGGAGACAGGACATCTCCTAATGCTGGACATTCAGGGACAGACAGAAGCAGATTTCCAGTGTTAACACATGTGGGACTGATTCCCTCCTCCTCACTGTCCAGCTGTGTGACCCTGTCTGGGCAAGGCAATGCATCCCCCAGAGTCCCAGGCTCTGGGGGTTAACAGCAGCTTCCTCCCAAAGTTAATGGGGCTGATACTGATAAGTACTTAGCACACTGTCTGGTTCAGAGTAGTATGCAAAGGTATTTGCCATTATTAATATCACATTATAGTAATAAATGTTTGGATGCATTTAGCAAACCATAAAGTGTTATGGATGTAGGTATTACTACAATTTCTGTTGTGAGCCAAAAATTCAGGGGTAGCCTGCCTAAAAGGTTGGGCAATCCAGGACAGTTTCTGCTGGGTAGAATTTATGACCTAAGTGGGCCCTGGACAGACAGGGAGATGAGCTGAGAAGAGGCAGGGATGCAGTTCTGACAGATGGGGCCTCACAACACGGGGCTGAGATGGGACCACACATGATGGGTTAGGAGACTGTGGTAAACAGAGGCCCCTGCAGCAAGTGGCTCTGGAGGCAGAGACTTGACCATCACAGCTACTGGCCTGGAATCATCTTACAGAGGAAGCACAAGGAGACACAGGGCGACTCCAAATGGTGATTTCACGCTTCCTTTCTGAAACCTGAGTTCTGTCTGACCTTCTAGGTCCTCTCCTACCTGATCACTGACCCCTCTTCTCATATCTCACAGACCCCATCCCAAACCCAGACTGCTCCTCATCTCTCTGTAGACCACACCATCCAGACTGCTCCTCATCTCTTCTGTGGCTGGCACATGTCCACGGTGATGGCCCCTTCACTGAGTGTCTTCTATGCCCTGCATTTTACAAATGTGACCTCAGTTACCCATAAGAACCTCAAAAAGAAGATACTACGTCTCACTGCACAGAAGGAGAAGCAGAAGCCTGGGTGGGAGGGTCAGGTGTCTTGGCCACAGTCTCAAAATGAACAGACAGCACAAGCTTGATGACAGGAGCCTTCTTTCTCCAGCAAGTTGGCTGCAGCCCTGGTCCAGACACCTGCCTCTTCCAGGCAGCCTTCCCGAACTCCAGCCCCTAAGGGCTTCCTCTCCAAATCTCCTGGTTCAGAACCTCACCCTTACCCCCACCCCCACCATTCCACAACTCAATCCTCATTCAGCTAACCTGGTTTCTAGTGTTGCCCGGAGTCTATTTGGCCCCCAAACAGGAGGACTGGTGGGTAAGAGGTCACCCTCTCCCTGTCCTATCCCGCACTTCACCCTCCACACATTCACTCATGGTCCAGACAACAGCACAACAAGAGCTACTCGCCTCCCCTGGTGGGACTGAAGCTCTGAACATGGAGCTTTGTCCGGAGCCTGCCTCCCAGTGAGGGAGCAATAAATTATTCACTGCCTCTGTGCCTAGGGAGGCCAGACAATGGGCCAAAGGGAATGGACACCAGTTCCCCCTCCTCAGGGCTCCCACCGGAAGCCATGGTGGGGGCAGAATCCACAGCCCCTTGATTTCTAGAGGGCTTTGAGACTAGAAAGGGACAGAAGTGAATGAGCCACACTGAGCAAACAAACACCAGTCTTAAAGTCTGCAACTATAGCCTGCTTCTAACCTAAGGCAAGTCTGAACATTTTCCTGGACTTCTCAGTCAAAACTCAAGCTTTCTTCTCTTCATAGAGAAGGCAGTTGGCATTTAGCCAGGTACTGCATAGCTGTATCTCATTTAGTCCTCACAAGACCTGCTAAGGGAGGTGATCTACTTTGACGGAGAACCAGTGGGGCTCAGAGGGGTGAGGTGATTGTCTGGAGCAGAAGGAAGGCCGCACAGGTCCACCTCCCTCAGGTCTACCTGACTTACTACGGTCTATGGCTTACTAGTCGCTTAGGTTTCAGGCTGCCACTTAGCCCACCAGATTACCTAGTGGGCAACTGGTGGTCCGTTAGTTCCTAATGCAAACTCAAAGGTTGTGGGTAAGCGGTTTCCTCTCTTTGGGTCTCAGTTTCCCATAGAAGGTACTTATTAATAACAAGCCCTAGCAGGTTGTGAGTGGTTCATGCTACAATCCTAGCACCCTGGAGGCTGAGGCAGGCATATCACAAGGTTGCGCTCAGCCTAGACAACTCAGTGACTTAGCAAGACCTTGTCTCAAAATGAAACAAAAACAAAGCTGGAGACGTAACTCAGTATGAATGCCCTGGGTTGCATTCCTAGTACTGCAAATAATAAATAAAGAAGTAAGTAGTAAATAAGTCCATCCTTGGCAAATACAACAAATTCCTTAGCACTCAACAGTTCGCTGATATGACTGGTTCATTATTTGAGCAGGCAACACACAGCCTGCCTTGACCCCACTTTATAGGTGAGGCATTCAGGAGGTACCAGGCAATTCCCCAGTCCTGCTCTGCCTCACTCCATGTTCCAGGGTTAGGTTCCACCACACCATGAAATGAGATCACAGGTGTGAAATTATATCATCAAAGAGGAGCTTTGTTTAGAATCCAGGATTATAAAAAGGGCTTGAATCCTCAGATGGCGGTGGGGTGAGGGGAACCCCAAGCCCCTTTATTAGTCACCTACCAGGTTCCCCCATTCCCTCCAACCCTAGACAAGCTTCCAGTCTCCACTACCCCTCGATCCCAGGAGCTTTCCAAGGTGGTTTCTCCTTGACTCCAGGGAGCTGGACACAGCAGGGGTTAACTGGTGCTCACCAAGGCCACAGGGCCCAGAGCAAGGCCATATGTTCCCTATCCCCCAGAACAAGAGCCTAGAGTCCATGCCCAGGGCTCTTTCACAATGCCCCACCTCCACATCCTTCAGCATATGGAGCCCCTCCCTGGCAGCTAGGACTGTGCCCCTGTCCTGGCAGCCCCAGTTTTAAGACCTAGGGCAAGCCCTCCCTTCCTGGGCCATAGGGTTCCTCCAGGTTCTCCCACCCAAGTGAGACTAAGATCAAGTCTGCAATCTGGGACAAAGGCTATGGGGCTACAGGAACGTCTCAGCCCTGATACCAACCATATAGACTTTCACAGCATCTCATACATGGTCACTCTGACCTCATACCAAGGTGGGGAAAATCCCAGCAGCTCACATAGAAACTGGGGAGGAGAATGGTCACCGTGAAGGATGTCTGGAAGGCTTTCTCAAGTCTACTTTTTTTTTCCCCAGACAGGGTCTCACTATATAGTCCAGGCTGTCCTTGAACTCACTATGTAGCCCACGCTGACCTCCACTATGTGGTGCCCTTCTGACCTTCCCGGTGCTGGGACTACAGGCGTGCAACCACCATGCTCCACCTCGAGTCTACTTCTGACTCAAGCACTCCCTGGCTTCAGGACTGGGGCAACTGCTCTGCTCCATCAGTGGTCCTCAGTGGCTTTATCAGTGGCAGGGAGGAAGTGAGGTGGGGAAATGTTGAGAGGTACCATCTCCAGCTTCTTCAGGGGTCCAACTCAGGGATCACCATGGTGAATTCCCCAATAGCTAAGCAGCATCTCATTAACTCCAGCGTGCCTTGGAGAGCCTGTAGTCCACCATCCTTGGCCTCAGGGAGAGAAGCTTTGAAACTGGGAAGCTTTCCACCTCTGCCCACAACTTAGGGTCACATTTCTTGGAAGCTGACAAGCCCAAGGACTGCGAAGCAAGGAGAAGCCATCTCCTCAGCTTCCTGATCTGTACTTGGATGCCTCTGTGGCCCCACCTTAAAACCCCCTCCCTGACTGCTACCCACTTCCTTTCTTCTCCCCTCCCTCTTTGCTTTTACCTTTCCCTTCCCCCTTTTCCCCCTATCTAATTCCCAACTTGAAGACAGTCAGGTCCTTCAGATCTGCTGAGCCTCAGTTTCCCATGTCAACATGCATAACAACACACAACATCTATCTGAAGAGTAGCAGCTCAGCTTTAAAAGAGACCATTTGTGCAAGGGCGGGGCGCGGACCTGCACACAATGGGCGCTCAATAAGTGCCCTTTTTCTTCCTTTCTCTCTCCTAGCCGGCTGCAGCCACAGCTCGCTTCCCCTCCACGCCCCCAGCAGGTTGCAGCCGCGCGGCGAGGGGTCGGCACCGTTCCCGCCGCGCATCCGGGCTCTCTCACCTGCAGCCTTGGCTCCTGCCGGTGTGCGGGGCAGAAAGGGCGCTTTTGCTCTTCTAGGGGCAAACGCCCGGTCCCCTGTGGGGCGAGAAGAAGGCGGCAACTTCGGCTCACAGCACCAGCCCAATGATTCAGTACGACTGTCCTGCCTGCCTGGAACCTCTGACCAGGTGCGGCACCCCGGCCGCGGCTTCCAAGTTCCAGGCAGTCTGCCGAAGGCGGCGGAAGGTTCGTTGCTCGGGGAACCGGGCTCCACTGTACTCAGGTCGGGGCTGGAGCCAGCCACCTTGCGCTAAGCCGGGACAGAGGGCTGGGGCTCCAACACACACAGGCTGGAAACAAGCCCGCAACTGTGGACCCACGCGGTGGTAGTGGCGGGGTCCTGCCCAGCACACCCGGTCGGGCCGGGGGATCCTGCAGCCCGCTCCGAACCGCGGAACCGCGGAACCCGGGGCTGGGACGGGGAGGGCAGGGCAGGCGCCGGCGGCGGGCGCGGCGCGGCGGCCAGAGCCCCGCGGGGAAGTCCTCCCAGATCCGGACGCCGATCGCTTTGCAAAACCGGCGGACCTCGGCGCGGCCGCTGACTCTGGAGCTCCGGGTCGTGGCTCCACTTCCTCCTCTTCCCCGGGCTCGCGCTCGGCTCCTCAGCTCAGAGCCGCAGCCGCAGCCGCCGCCACCGCCGCTGTCATCCTAGCCGCCCACCCCCACAGAAGCTGCAGCCCGAGCGGAGCCGAGCGGAGCCGAGCGGAGTCGAGCTGAGCCGAGCTGAGGCAGCACCGCCCAGCCGCGGAGCACACAAGAGCGAGCGCCTCCCGCCTGACGGGGGCGGAGTCACCCGAGTCCCCGCCCCTCTCAGAGCCCGGCAAGGGTGGGGCCTGCGTTTGCAGTCCTTTGCAGGCCGGGAGCCTCTAGCAGCGGGAGCCAATTGGATACTGGGAAAAGGGTGGAGCTCTGCGGAATTTGGCCTCCACCTTGGAGAGGGCGGGGCACACTGAGGAGAGGTGAAGCCGGAGAGAGCACAATTCGTGGGTTGAGGGTTCCTAAAGAACCGTGCTGGGGACGGGGTGCCCTGGGGACGTGGATGGAAAGGGAGAAGCGGGGAGGACAGGTTTGTCTGGGTTGGGGACGTGATGCCTTCCGTAGGGGTGAGGAGATGGGGGCGTCCTGGCGAAGGAGCAAAGATCGATCGGCTGAGAAAAGTAGCAGGGGTGCGACAGGGTAGAAAGCAGATGGGGTACGCGGACCGGGCCGGGGGGAGGGGTCCCAGGGACTGAGGAGTCCGGGCGGTGGAGCGATGCTGCCCTCCGCTTGCTCCTCCCCAACTCTGAGCCTCAGTGAGCCAAGGTGGAAGTTCGGTTCTGTGAGCTGTTCTGATTTTAGGAAGCGGTGAAAAATACGTTTTTGAAAGCAAAAGAGTGGATCTCTTTCCCACACTTTCCCTTCCCCATAGTTCATCGCCAGGGAAGAGAGTCGTCAGTTTTGAAAAGATGAAGTCAAGAGCAGAACAGTGTGGGACAACACACCTCAAATTGTGCTGTATCTGCAGTCTGCTCGCGCCGTCCCCAGCACACGCCTAGGGTGCAGGAGCTGCCCGTGATATGTCCCTGTATTCCCCCGCGCAGGGGCGGGCGCTGGAGGGGTTGATGTATGAATGAATGTTGAAAGTGTGTGAGTGATGTGAAAGCCACTAATTGGCCTGGGGAGCAAACAGTGTCACCATACAACTTCTTGCTAAGCACCACAGCGATCTTACTGGGCAGAGCCCCGTTTCTCGGTGGAAGATCCAGGCTCTGAGAGGCCACGTGGTAGTCCCCAGACTCCTCAGCCGGCACAGATTCAAGCCACCCAGCACTATCACCTTCCAGGACAAAGCAGTGTGGCTCTGAAAGGTTGTTTTACTTCTCTGAGCCTCTACTTCTTATCTCAAAAAGAATGAAGATACTGGGACTTGGCAGGGAAACAAGGAAGGACGAGGAGGGCAGCCTGCTTCAGAGGATAGATGGGGGCATTCCTGGCAGGGGAAAGATAATGTGTAAAGGTGCAGAGTCTGAAAGAACAGTTTGGGTGGGGTGGTGGGGTGGTGGTGGTGGTGGTGGTGGTGGTGGCCTATTCTGGGTAGCTGAGGCCAGAAGGGGTTAGCAGGGCTAGCAGAGGGGATGGGGCTCTGGGCAAAACCCTGGAGGTGAGGGAGCACTGTACTCTTGAAGGACCCAGAAAAGTAAAGTGTGGGGCTGGGGAGTATAGCTCAGTGGTATAAGCACCTCCCTGGCAGATCCTGAGTTCGATTTTTGGTATGCACACACCCACAGAGTAAAGGGTGGCTGGAGCTCCCAGGGAGGGAACTCCAGAAGCCAAGGGAAGAAGAGAGTCTAGAGAGGCAGGAGTGCTTCAGAGCTTACTCTGAAGACCAAAACTCTTTTTCATGGGTCTGAGCCCCGCAGAGTGACTGAGAGGTGAATTTTGACTGGTTGGTTGTCTGAGGGGAGTGCTGAGGAGACCCTGGAGCTTTGGAGGCCTGGCCCAGAGGCTGCCTAGTGCCTTCTCAGTACACCAGCAGAGCTGAACTGACCCAAAGAACAAGGACAAGGGTGGACTAAGACAGGCCCCGAGGGCAGCACGGTTGGCTCTAGGAAGCTGGACCTTTGTGTTGACCTTTGTAGTGGTGCTGAGAAACATGGTGCTTTCTCCTTTTGCTCAGAACCATCTCTGGCTCCCACATGCCAGCACAACCAAACCCTAAGTCCCTGTTTTGGCATTTCAGCCCCTGTCTGCCAACCACAGCAGCCCATCTTCCCCACTTTCTTCACCCAATTTCCCTCAGCTCCATCAGCAAGCAGAACACATTGTGTCTGTGTGCCACTCCCTCAAGTGGTCCCCTATTGCTCCCCTTTTCTGGTGAGGGAACTCCTGCCTCCTCGCTGGCTTGAAGGGAAGAAGCTGGATGCCAAATGCTCATCTGCACTCATTGCTGCTGTATTCTCAGAGCCTAGCACAGAGCTTGGCACATAGTAAGTGCTTAGTAAGAATAGTAGTTGTTGGTGCTTCCACTTCTCAGTTCAGCAGCCACCTCCTCTGAGAAGCCTTCCTGAACTCCTGGCAGCCTGCCTTTGGTATGGCTTCCGTGGCTTGAAGGTTCTGGGATTATGGGTGCCCATGTCTGGTTTCCCCAACTGGGCTGGGAGCACCTCCATGGCACTGTGCCCCCGCCCGCTGCCACCAGACCAGTGCCTGGCAGCCCTCTCTAGATCTCAGCACTGGGAGATGAATGAATGAGGTTCTCAGAGAAAAGCTGTCTGGCTGTCGCTGCTGGGAGAGCTGCCTTGATGGGGTCAGAGGACTAGAATGTCAGAATGAAAAGAAGCTTTTTAGAACAGACCTTTCATGACTTGAGGGAGGCCCGCCCAAAGTCACCAAGAGCTGACCAGCACACAGGTCTGAAACACCCACATTTGCCCTCTGGCTGCCCCTCCAGAGGAAAGAGAGCCTTCTGAACTGAGGGTTGCTGGCCTTTTTATGGCCAGGGAGGCCCCCAGTGTGATGACAGCATGATCAGGGTGGCTTGTCAAGAGGGTGACTGAGGGCTCTGGGCTGCTTGGCACTCCAGCCCGGAGGCTCATGGGAAGCACTGGCCTTTGCTGCATGCTCTCGCCTGAGGTGGTTTATAGGAGCTCTACAGCCTAGGTGCAGCTCCTTCCTACTCTCAACTCGGTAAACACTTTCAGACCTCCAGTTATTACTAATCATGCATTGTTTTTCTTAAGTATGTCAGTGAATTGTATCAAGCTTCTCCAAGAGATCTGTACACACTGTCTTGGTAGGTGCAGTGCTAACTTGTGGCAGGAGATGCCATGGTGCAGCTGCAGACGTGGCTTTTATGACCACCGGTAGGGTTGTTTGATTCAGCCGAGCTCCTCAGGCCCTCACAGTGCTTAGTGCCTTCCACTTCTCTGCCTGTGGCTCTACCAACCCCCCCCCCCCATACACCCATGTGGCCACTGAGGCTTTCTTCATCCCCTAAGGTGCACACACGGACTGACTCTACTCCTAGAGGCCTGTGCGGTTCCCCTCAGAGCAGTACATCTTCCTCTGCAGCCTGCTTAGGGCAGAGGCCCTTGTCCCTGCTGTGGAGCTCCAACCTCCTTGGGCCTCAGCCGCTGGTGATTCAGATTTCCTGCCCAAGTATGAGCTGTCAAAGACCAAGGGATGGCACCTGATTTCCCTCCGCCACTATGTGGCTCCCCAGTATTTCCTGAGCTAGGTCTAATCTTAAACCAGACATTGGGACTTGGGGCTGGGACAGTCAGGTAAGAATTCATCCTGGACAGCTAGTAGCCCCTAGTCCGGAGCTGTCTGTGTGAATGAACGGGCCATCCATTTCAGCTGGGACCAGGCAGCTTCAAAGGGAAGATGAACTTGAATTAGATATCTAAGAAAAAGCAGATAAAGATGGGCAAGTCTTCTAGGCACAGGGGACACTGATCACAGAAACATACATGTGGCAGGTGACAGGTGAGAAGACAGGTATATCTGAGGAAGGAACTGACCCAAGAAGGTGAAACAGGTTATGCCACAAAGCCATCTGTGTAGACTCTAGAGCCACATGGGCTAGCCCCAAATCCTGATAGGTACTAGCTCTGTCATTTCTCTGTGCCTGAGTTTCCTCATCACCTTACAGATGAGTAAAGTGTACTTACAATATGAGTACCTGTAGGTAATATGTAGTATTTTAAGACTTAGATGAATCACTTTTTGTTAAGCTCCACAGGAGGGTCAGATAAGTAAGATGAGATGGAGGGACAGCAAAGTCTATGCTGGATGCAGCTTGAGTTTGGGCTTCATCTTGGGGGCTTAAAGTACCAAAGTTGTTACTAGGATGGGACTGGGAGCCTGGCCTTGGATCCAGCCCATCTTCACCCAGGTACATCAGCAGACTGTGGGTCCCAGCCTGCCTGCCTCTTGGCCTCCTTGGCCTTCTGGTGCCCTCAGTGGCTCCGTGGCTGCAATCCATATATAGCGGGATTGTAGAGTCCAGAGCCTCCCTGAGCCAGCACAGCTCCAAGCCAGGGGAGCCTTTATAGCTCCATTGATTGCCAAAGGAGGGGAGGAGGGTGTCCACAGCATCTGGGCAGCACATTTGAGCCCTGCCTGGTTTAAAGGTTGGAGGATCTGAGTGGAGGGAATGTTGACTACGTGGGAACATGGCTGGGCTGGAGAACAACTTGGATGGAGGACATCATGGTTGTAATATTATGGGCTAGAGCCAGACCCCCACCCCCATCCTGCCACTTCCCCTCTCTGTACTTCAGCTTCCTCATAGGTAAACTTGAGATAAAAATAACACCTCCTGTCCCAGGTGGGGAAGAACAAATGAGGCTCAGTGCCCAGTGAGACCTGAGCCATGGTGTGTGTGGGAGAACACCCGCAGTCCTACAGCCTGGAGGCCTGGAAGTCCAGAGGCAAGGGCTGGAGAGATGGGTAAGGGGATGTGTCCAGAAGTTTGGCTTCTGGGCTGTGGGTAGAGAGCCAGGGGAGGGTTTAGGCAGGGATTTCTAGGTCAGATTTGCTTTTCAGAGATGGCCTGGCCACTGCTTGGAAGGGGACTGAGGCAGGGTGTGGGTGTGCTCCAAGAGTCTAGATATCAGCGAGAGACCTGAGCCCTGGCTATGACGCTGGTGCATAGGAGAATCAGAACACTTGGGGGAGGAGGCAGGACCTAGATAGAAAGGTCTAGGGTGACATCCAGGACTCAGCTGGGAGCCCAGTAGA